ACCAATGGAACTAGAAGCTTTCTAGTTGAAAGAGACCACAAAAGCATTAGGCCCTATGTTGAAACCAAACGATCTGATTACTATATGTATGCATTTTCTTGACTGTTAAAGAATTTTGTGCCTGCATATTTAAGAACAATCACACTCAAGTTTTAGTGAAATAAGTTGCAAAAATATATTTTCCTATTTTGATACAATACTCTTTTCATTCTATCAGGTGCCTTTGAGTACTTATGAGTTAGGGATATTTCTAAGGGCTGAAGACTTATTTTTTAGAAACTTCTAAAAGAAATATAGTATGCAAATTCTTTACTCCAGGACCTTTGTGTATAGTAATGAAGATAATATATATACAAGGTCCAGAGTGTGGAAGAAGAGTGTATTTCTTGGCATAAACCATCTTTGTATGAAAATAGCAGCCCTGCCCTTTCCCCACTGCAAACCCAGCCAGCTGAATCATAAAAAGGCCCAGAACCCTACAGGTGCCCACAGCCCCAGTCCCCTAGGGACAAGTTCTCTCTGACCATTTCATCACAGAGAACTTACGTTGAAACTAGGGCAATCTATATTTATGGACCTGAGTGGGCAGGCTGCATATGGGACTTTTCAGATGCTGTTTACTATTGCAGCTGTTCTTACTTTAATCCCATTGATTGATTGATTGATTGATTTTTGTTAATCCTCACCTGAGTATATTTTTTCCATTGATTTTTGGAGAGAGTGGAAGGGATGGAGGGAGAGACAGAGAAACATCAATGTGGATTGGTTGCCTCCCTCAGGGTCAGGGATCAAGCCTGTAACCCAGGTACAAGCCCTTGACCAGGAGTCAAATACGTGATCCTTTCATTGGAGGTCCCACGATCTAACTACTGAATGACACTGGTCAGGGCTAAGCCTCTTTAAAATATAGCCAACACTGTTGTTAATTGGGAGAATTACCCACATCATAAATTGTTTCACTACTCAAGGATATTTGTTGTATCTTGTCTTAAGTAATATGATAGTCTATTCAGTTAGAACCAAAATTGAGCTAATTCTTCAATTTTTTTTTTTTTTACCACAATTAGGAGGTGGAGAAGATATATATATATATAAAAAAAGATGTTCAATAAGCATATCATTGTTGATTGAACTTGAAAGTGTTTCAGATGCTTATGAATGAATAATATCCCCCATTTTAATATAGTTCTTTGCTTAGTGATATGAAGATAATTTCCCACCAAGGATGACCATAATGCTCTTTTATAAACTGGGGATTCTGAATTCCATGCATCATCTTATGTATAGCAGAATATCCATCACTGCCTTCTAAACAAACAAACAAACAAACAAACAAAGCTGATACCAGTTCCAACAGAAGAGAACATTACCGTGGTGCTGAGAGCTTTGAGAAAATTTGATCTTATGCTTTGATTATAGCTATATCAAATAAACTTAAAAATTACTATTATATTGATATTAATCATTAATCGCTCTAGAATGCTTTGGAGTTGAAAATAAAGGCTATTTTGAAACCAAAACAGATCTGTTTACCATATGCATGCATTTTCTTGAATGCTAAAAAATTTTTGTGTATTTAAGATTCATTACATTCAAGCTTAGAAAGAAAAATTACAAATGCATATTTTTATTTTCCAAAAAAAGATCTCCTCTCAGATGTCCTGATTCGTCTCAGAACTAGACATCAGAATCATCACAACTCATTTCTCCCCTGATGACACTAGTCCATGAAATCACATAATCTTGTCTTTTCTTCCTCAATGATTTATTTCAAAGTATCTTTTTGTATAGTAATCATGTGAAAACATTGATAAAATTTTAAACTTCTTTAGCCTTTTAATTCCTCTTAATGTTAAAAAAGAAATGGGAAGTTAACCTCATATAACCACTATGTTCCCCTCTAATTCTAAAATTCTGTCGTTTTTTGATTATATGATTTTAGTTCCAATGCTACTACATAATGTCCTTCTCATTTCATACAATTACATTATAACTGTTCTCTGCCCATTCAGACTGGCTATGTTTTATTATATCCTGTACCTTAACCTGTCATCTTCCAAAATACCCACCTTCAGCGTGACATCCTTATGCTCAAAGTGTTCCTGGCTTCTCACTGTTGACCTGATAAAGTCTAAACTTATTATATGTACTGTATTCAGGACTCTGCCATGTGGCCATGATGAGTCTTTTAATCTTTATGACCTACCACCCTGTCACATGAACTCAAATTCCAATCAAAATGGGCTATTAAACATTTCAGGCTCGTGCCCCGAGTGAGACATCCTCATTTCCATGCTTTGCTCATTTAGAATGCCTTCTCGTGCTTTTCTCAGTACAATAGGTGATAAAATACCTTCTTGAAATATAAATTCATGACACACCAAGCTTCTGAGATTTTTTCCCCTCCCTATATAGCTGTTGTATGGGACAGAGAGGATATTATGCAGCTAACACTAAGCTGTTCCTCACACTGTACATCAGGGTTTAATTTCTTTTCTATCTAACATTATTATTCTAAACTTGGTATAGGATCCTTTGTAAAATGCAGGGAACACTCTAGTCTGGTGCTGTCCAAATGCTCTATATCTATGCTGTCTAGTATCTTAGCCACCAGCCTCATGTGTTGAGAACTCTAAATATGACTGGAGTGACTGAGAAACTGAATTTTAAATTTTATTTTACATAAATTAATTTAAACTTAAATTTAAATTTAAAGTGGTGAGTGACTACAGAATTGGACAGAACTGCTTTTAGAGAGCTGCTTGCCTTTAGAACAGAACTTTCCTTGTCTAATTTGATACCTTTAACAGTAGATTCAATTGATCACTTTTCCTTTATTATCACGTGAAGTTTTAAGTTACCATGCATTAACAATGAAGCTTTGGATGTCTTTATTATTATTTTAAGAAATCTCTGCCATCGAAATAAAATTTAGAGAAATTCATTATTTACTGTCATGGTAACATAGAGAAGGTCACTCCTATTTCTGTCATTATGTTTATGCTTGTACTCAAAGAAAATAATTTATTAACTAGGAGTCTCTGAAGGGTGTAGGCCCCCTTCCTCTACCCTACTGGCACATGGCACTTTTTGTGTCTCTCTTTCTCTGCAGAGCATTCTGAAGTCCTCTCTAAGTTGGGCATCTGAGTAAGCAGGCCTACCAAATTCTCCTCAAGGTGGATTTTTTTTCTCTGACTGTTTTGTTTTGCTCAAAGTTCTATGAGCAAGTGGGCGGGGTTTGCTTTCTCTAAGCCAGCAGAAGCCTGCTCTCACTCTTCCTTTTAATTTCTTTAATATGAGGATCCCCACACTTGCTCTCTGAAATGCTATTTTATAAACTGCTATTTCCTCTAAGCCTGTTTTGCCCCTTTTCCATCTGTGTTGAAGTCTCTTTTCCCAGGGGGCTTTTCTTTCTCAATTTAGTCATGCTATGTGTGGAAAGGCACAGCCACACTACTGGCCTCTCTGACTCATCCCCACTAGCACTGTGGTGGAACAACAGAGAGGCTCCAGCTCAGCTCCAGCCCTTTCTGAAATCTGCCTCTTTTCTTCGCATCTCTCTTTCTTGTCCAAAGCTATAGGAGAAGGAGAAAGAGAAAAAAAAATGCCCTTACCCCTTTTAAGGTAATGTTTTTGGTAAATAGTTTTTAGCACTTCTAATTTTCAGTTTATAAGCTACTTTAGTTATTGCTGTTGCCTTTAAATATTCCATGATCCATGATCTGGCTAGTAGAAAAACCTTTTAATGCTCCAACTTTCCTTTTTCCTCCACCAGCAAGCCAAGAGAGTCATTTCTGAGTTACGTTTTTCTTCTAGTTACAGATTAAATTGTTCCCCTTTTTGAAATCTATTATTCATAAATGTGAATAGTCTCTGAACTACAGCTTCTTCTATCCACAGATAGGAAGCCTGGTGGGTGAAATTGTTCATTCACCCCATTGACTCTCTGGGGTTATACAGAACTGGATCTTTACACTCTTGTCTTTCAGGCCAGGACTTTCCTTGACCCTCCTGGCCCCTCAAAGAAAACCCTCTGCCAAAGATAGCTCACCCTCATGACTTCACAATCCAGATGGGTTCAGACAATAAATTCCTCTGACTTGATTTGCTGAAAGGGTCAAAGTTAAATAACATAATGAAATAAAAAACTGACCACCAAGCCAGATCTAAATTTGGCCAATAACCTGTCCAATTAACCTACTTTTAATCTCACCAAGTACATCCTGTAAATATATAAAGGAACTCCAACTGGAATGTCCCATTGGCTCAGGGAAAGCTAATCAAGATAATAACTAAAGAAGTAACTTCCACATCTAACTAGAGATGTCTATGGGAGAAATTGAGAGGTGCACATTATTTTTGATTTTGTGATTTTGTTTAGCTGTGCACAAGTGATGTTTTTCCATTACACACACACACACACACACACACACACACACACACACATATAATTTGCATAATCTTTGCCTTTAGTTGGAAGCACTTCTACCCACTTTATTATTTTTAAGAAAAATCACTTCATGTTACTTAATTTTAGTTCAAGGGAACATGCCCACTCTGTATTTCAGCTTTCACCTTTGGCACAAGACCTTAGAAATGACCTTACTGCTTTAATTCTTTGTGCAGTGGGCACCACCCTTCACTAGACTTTCAACATGTGGATGGAGAGAGGGTGACCTGCAGTGTAACCATCTCACCCTTTCAAGAAGTGGGGGTTTGTTTGCTGCTGTGATCAGGAGGTTCATTTGCTAGGAGAAGAGTGCAGTTATATGAACGCTTGCAAAACTCAAGTTAGCTTAATTCCAGCTGAACTAACCAGCAAGATGGGGGTGGGGAGATGAGACATATCTGACGACCACAGGAGTTCCCAAAGCCCAGAAAACAGTGTGTGTGCAGCAAAGGTAGAGAAGGATGGACATTCTGCTGGCCAGAGAAGAGCTGTCCAGGCCCTGACAACATCCCCTGGGGACATCCCTTCCTCCCTGGCCCTCTCACCTTACCTTGACCACGTCATCGTTGAGGTGCTTGGGGTCACGGTTGACCAGGTCAATCTCTTTGGTATGAGCATCATACACTTGCCTCTCGTTCATTTCGTCTGCCATGGCCTTGTTGTTGGGCTTGTAGATATTGCCCTGTTCCCGGATGGGAACAGTATAGAGATGTCCCTGCAGAGGGCGGACCGCCAAGAGAAAGAGAGTGGCTACAGCGGTCGGAAGAAATTTTCCAAAAGAAAAATAAGCAACCGGAAGTCAGCCTGGTGGCTGAGCAAACTTCCAGGCTCAAAATCGAACTCACCGCTTCTGCAGCAGTGGCTCCGCGCGCAGTAAACCCCTTGGCGCTGCAAGCTTTTTATGAGGATCTGGGAGGAGACACCACACCCCTCCTTACCCGGCTGGGAGCTCCTGCCTTCCGCGCTCGCCACCAGGGGTCAGGACAAACCCTGCCTTGGCGCCTTCCCTGGCCCCCGCCCAGCGCAAGCCTTGCTCAAGGTACCCCTTCTAGACCCTGGCAGAGACCACCCGACCTCTGACTTCTCTCCAGCCCCTTTCTCAACCTGAGTGCGTCACCTCCTCCATTTTCTCGTCCCCAGCCACTACCTATTCTCCCCTCTCTCCATAATTCTTTCAGTTTCATCCTTAAGATTCAACGTGAACCCCCGGACCCATTGAATGTCCCCATGTCGTTGCTTCTCTGCGGCGTTTCCCTGGCACCTGCCCACGTCTTTTACTCTCTTTCTGCCCTCTTTGTCCCCCACAACTCCCCCAAATCCCGTGGTGGTTACAGTTCCGCATGTCCCAAGCTCTGAGGGAGCCATGTGTCAGAACTCACCTGCACAACTACCCCGACCCACCCTCAGGTCACTCCCAGGCTGAAGGCCCCGAGGCAGAACGGCGGCTGCCTTTGGGAAAGCGAAGTCTCCACACCCAGGATGGAAGGTGTTTGGAAGGAGTGGTGGTAGTTGAGGGGAAGGAGATCCTTCCCTCTTCAAACACCCCTCCCTGGCACCGAGATTCAGAAAGAGTTCTTGAGGTGGCCTAAGAGCTCTGGAAAGTGCAAACACAGCGCGCACCACTGCCCGGGCCAGTCGGTCCAGGCGCCTGGCAGGGAGTCTCTGGGACTGTCCTGCGGATGGCTGGTACGTGAGCTTCCACCCTGCTCTCCAGTTTCCCGCCTCTCAGCGGGAAAGGGTCGGACAGTGTGGGTCTCGCAAAAAGGCAGCACCTAGACCGGTCTGGAAATGCACCCGCAGTTAGGGAGACCTAACTTCAGAACTCCGGTGACCTTCTGCATGTTTCTCACCTTAGACCCCCCCCCCCCGCCACCCCCCCCCCCTCGGGTTCCAGTAGGAAAACATAAAATATGCCTGCCTCATCTTCACCTCCCCTCTCAGGCCCATTCCTCAGCAGTGTCAGCGAGAGTGGAGTGCTCCAAAGTAGAGAGAGGGCTAGGGCAAGGAAAGCAGTCGGAACATTCCGAGTGGGAGTTAGCAGAAGCAGGCACTCCTTGTGCGCCCCGAGTCCGGCACACACTCACCCAAGCCTACCTCGGAGTCTACGTATTTGCCCCCAGACATGCCGGCCGATGGCTGGATGAAGGCTCTGAGACTTCCCTGGGCTCTGATATAAGGGAATTGAGGAAGAAAGAACTTGTATTGTATGGGGGGAAAATGGAGCTAGTGGGTGGGGCGGTGGCTGGGAGGAAGCCTCCTGGCCACCTGCCAAGGGTTTGTTCTGTTCTCGGTTGGTTGGGACCTGTGCTGTGCCGGGTCTAGGCACATCCCCAAAGTTCTGGCAGTAGAGGGCGGGGAGCACTGCGGGGAGCAAAGAGCAGTGAAAAAGCGTTTCACCAGCCCTGGGCTGCATCGGCAGATATTTTAAACGGGGGCAACATTTTCCCAGTTAGGAACTACAGAGAGGCGTGTCGGGGAGAGCCAATGTTTTCTCAGAGCATCATCCCAGCAAGGGTGCAGAGCAGAGGGATCCGATTCCTCTGCTAGATACATGCCCAGTAAGGGAGCCGAGCTTTAGAAAGAATTATTCCCTGTTATAAGCCATTTCTTCCTATCGTACCTGTTCCATCGCTGCCTAAGACACAACTATCTCCCTGTTTTCAAAGAGGAAGGGATACAAAATGGCTTAGAACCTTTAGACGCATTTCACATTTAAACACAAGGGAAAAAATCTGTGTGAGTGCGTGTGTGGTGTGTTTGGTGACATTGGTTCACATCTAGTCAGTGTGGATGGAAACTTGGAGAAGTAGGCATGCAGAATAATTTAACATTTCCCAATTGCTTCTGAAATGTCTTCCAAATAATTTGAAAAAAGAAATGAAATATTAAACTTTCTATAATTTTGTTACTGATCTTTTCTGGAACAAAGGAAATTAATGCCAACAGGTTATATCATAGTTATAAAAATATTTACAATTGTTAGTAATTAAAATATTTTATTTGTTCCTGAATTTGGGACTTCTCTCTTTATCTTATAAACTACCTTATTATAATGTAGCACAAGATGAATTAAACAAAATCAGTCATCTTTACTTTGGAGTTATAATAAGTCAGGAAATTTACTATCCAAAAAGGAAAGGATTTTTTAACATAAGTTTGCATATGCAATGAAAAATCAAATTATGACTTGAAATAAAAAAAGTTGGGAATATACCTGAAGGGACACATTACATTAAAAGTACTGACAGTTTAGAAAGGGGACTATGGGGAGGGCACAAAAAGAAGAGAAAAGGGGGAAATAGAAGATGGAAACTTTAGAGCTGATTATCTATAAAGGAGAACTATGAAAGCCTATTTGTGATGCAAAAAAGCAATTCAATTTTTGGAAAAAAGATCAGTTTTAACTACGTGGCAGGAAAAAAAATGTCACAAATATTGGCATCACTTAAATTATGCTGGCTAATTATCAGAATACTAAAGATCTTCCACAAGTTGTTTTTTAAATGTTATTTCTACCAAATTCAATTTCTAAATTCTTTGAACAAATTGTGTTAACAAACATGACATGCTAGAAAAAGGTCATGTCAGGTTCAGGGTGTTGTGTAGTGTCCAGTCTGTTCATCTAAGTCTTCCTTCATAAATGTTGGCTGCAAAGCAGTTGGGGTTATGTTCTATGGAAAAATGTGGAAACCAGTTCCCGTCTATTGTTATTCAGTTTTCAGCTGTGATGAGTAATCTTGACCCTGAAAAAAGTCAACAGGAACAGGGAGAGAGCATGTCCTGCATACCAGCAAGAAATAGACTTTCTGGGGAGGTCTGTGAGTGAATACTTAACTAGTACTAAAAGGAGGGAAAGCAGCCTGGCTGGAGAAGTCTATGTCTAAGTAGAATTACCAGCAGCACACGGAATCATAATAATCAGTGAAGTGTTGTCAATGCCAAAATGAATTCCTAATGAGAGGAAAAACCACAAATCTTCATTAACCTGCCTCAACAAGAAGCTGGTACAAAAGAGAAACAGATCTTATTGTGGTTATAATAGCTGAGTTGGAGAATTGGTTCCAACTTAATGAGAAATAAGGAAAAGATGAAGAACAACATTGTTAGTATAGTACTAGAATGGAAATAAATAAATGATGTAAAAAAAAATATAGTTTTTCTTTGATACCCAGATGGATAACTTTAGGCTTGGAGGCTCAACTTTCTCCAAATCATTTACTGAAAAATGGGTAAATGGCAATCATTTGCCCTCTGTTTTTGTTTTGAAAGCAGGCTCAAAAGTCAGTTCATGTATTATATGTTACTAAAAATATAGAGCTAAGAGGGACAGAGAGATGAGAAAACTGAAGTTTAAATACATAAATATTATTTGTTCTTAAGGAGTTTTGTGGGGGTAATGAACATTTTAAAGTTGATAAATACTAGCACCTGTTAACAATTTATAGGACATGAGATTCTTATGTAGTAGTCTAGTGAGATTGTGAAGTTAGCTGCCTGTTGTGTTCTCTCATCTTCTCAAGCCCTCCTTACCCCATGGCACAAATTCCTCTTCCAGTTCTCACCACCCTAGATCCTCTTCATACTCTCAGGTGACTCCATCTGATTCCCACTTTAGAATTAGGAATATAAGGTATGATCACTTACAGTGGTATCAAGATTTTAAGAATCAGGCACCCTTCCAACATTTCCCGAAACTCAGACGTCTGCCCAAATGTGCCTTTGTTAATGAATTCAGAAAAAGGATCATAACTTGAATTATCAATAGAGTTATAACTATGTATAATATAAAAAACTAACAATCAGTCTGGCAGCGACGCCAGCAGTCATTCTAGACTTGGGTTCCAGTTCTGGAGCTATGCCTTAGAGTCTTGCTGGCTAGGTGCTGGCGCATTGAGAGAATAGGGCACTTAGGGGAAGAGTGAGAGGTGAGGAGGTAGGGAGCACTTCAGAGAATGACTATTTATTTATTTATTATTTATTTTTTTAATTTTTTATTTATTTTTTGTTACAGATGTCTCTCCTTTTTTACCCCATTGGCTCCCCCTTCCCCATCCCCCCCACCCCATCCCCAGCTTTGTGGTCCATGTCCATTGGTTATGTATACATGCATATAAGTTCTGTGGTTTATCTCTTCCCACCCCCTCTTCTGTGCCCTACTTCCATGTTTCTGGGTCTACCATATCCCTCAGATTGTTATGTTCATTATATTCTGTATATAAGTGAGATCATGTGCTATTTGTCTTCTTCTGCTTGGCTTATTTCACTTAGGATAATACTTTCCAGGTCCCTCCATGTCGTCTCAAAGGATAAGAGATCTTTCTTTCTTACAGTTGCATAATACTCCATTGTGTATATGTACCACAGCTTTTTTATCCACTCGTCCACTGATGGACACTTGGGCTGTTTTCAGATCATCGTTATTGTAAACAGTGCTGCTATGAAAATGGGGGTACATATATTCTTCTGGATTGGTGTTTCAGGCTTCTTAGGGTATATTCCTAGAAGGGGGATCACTGGGTCAAATGGAAGTTGAATTTTTAATTTTTTGAGGTAACACCATACTGTTTTCCATAGTGGATGCACCAGTCTGCATTCCCAATAGCAGTGTACTAGAGTCCCCTTTTCTCTGCACCCTCGCCAACACTTGTTGTTTGATGATTTGTTGATGGCTGCCATTCTGACAGGTGTAAGGTGATACCTCATTGTTGTTTTAATTTGTACCTCTCTGATGATTAGTGATGTTGAGCATTTCCTCATATGTCTCTTAGCCATTTGTATGTCTTGTTTGGAGAGGTGTCTATTCAGCTCCTCTGCCCATTTTTAAATTGGGTTCTTTGTCTTCCTTTTGTTGAGTTGTATGAGCACTCTATATATATTGGAAATTAACCCCTTATCTGATATATCATTGGCAATGATGTTCTCTCATACAGTGGGTTGCCTTTCCATTTTGATAATTGTTTCTTTTGCTGTACAGAAGCTTTTTAGTTTGATGTAGTCCCATGTGTTAATTTTTTCCTTTGTTTCTGTTCCCTTAGGTGATGTATCAGTGAAAATTCTGCTGCGTATGATGTCTGAATTTTATTGCCTACATTTCCATCTAGAATTTTTATGGATTCATGGGTCACATTTAAGTCTTTTATCCATTTTGAGTTTATTTTTGTGTATGGTGGAAGTTGATAGTCTAGTTTCATTTTTTTGCATGTAGCTGTCCAATTTTCCCAACACCATTTATTAAAGAGGCTGTCTTTACTCCACTGTATGCTCTTGCCACCTTTGTCAAATATTAATTGAGTGTATTGCCTTGGGTCCATTTCTGGGTTCTCACTTCTGTTCCACTGGTCTATATGCCTGTTCTTGTGCCAGTACCAGGCTGTTTTGATTATAGTGGCTTTGTAGTATTACCTGAAATCTGGTATTGCGATCCCTCCAACTTTGTTCTTCCTTTTCAAGATTGCTGTGGCTATTCGAGGCCTTTTTTGGTTGCATTTGAACTTTTGAAGTAATTGTTCTAATTCTGTGAAGTATGCCGTTGGTATTTTGATGGGGATTGCATTGAATCTATATATTGCTTTGGGTAATATGGACATTTTAATGATGTTAATTCTCCCAATCCATGAACAGGGTATGTGCTTCCATTTTTTATATCTTCCTCTATTTCTTCTTTCAATGACCTGTAGTTTTGTGCCAATAGGTCCTTTATTTCTTTGGTTAAGTTTATTCCTAGGTATCTTAATTTTTTTGCCGCAATGGTAAATGGGATTGTTTTTTCAGTTTCTCTTTCTGTGAGTTCATCATTGGTGTACAAGAATGCCGTCGATTTCTTGACGTTAATTTTGTATCCTGCTACTTTGCCAAATTCATTTATTAAGTCTAGTAAACTTTTGATGGAGTCTTTGGGGTTTTCTATGTACAGTATCATGTCATCTGCAAATAATGACAATTTCACTTCCTCCTTTCCAATTGGGATCCCTTTTATTTTTTCTTCCTGTCTGATTGCTTTGGCTAAGACTTCCAGTACTATGTTAAATAAGAGTGGCAAAAGTGGACATCCCTGTCTTGTTCCTGTTCTTAACGGAAATGTTTTTAGTTTCTGCCCATTGAGTATGATGTTGGCTGTAGATCTTTCATATATGGCCTTTATTATGTCAATATATGATCCCTCTACTCCCACATTTCTGAGCATTTTCATCAGAAATGGATGCTGGATTTTGTCGAATGCTTTTTCAGCAACTATTGATATGATAATGTGGATTTATTCTTCATTTTGTTTATGTGGTGTATCACATTTATTGATTTGTGAATATGGTACCAGCCTTGCATCCCTGGGATGAATTCCACTTGGTCATGGTGAATAATTTTTTTGATGTATTGCTGAATCCGATTTGCTAGTATTT